AGCACGGCTGCTGACGGGCGCTGGGGTTGCTTTTAAGAGCCTTTGAGTGGTAGGAAGGACCTTGGCCGGTGTCCCACTTCATTGTTCCCGTTGTAAGGCTTTACCTGGAAGAACTGCAGCCTATTGCTCTGGCTCACAATTAAACCCTGCTTACCTGGTTCCTCGCTGCCTGTGACTTGCTGCTCCCACCACTGCTGACCGAGGCAAGAAGCCGGGCAGTGGCCAGAGACCTCTCTTACCTGCTCATCCTCTTCCTCCTGCGCTTCTCCCCGCAGGGCGGCTGCCCGGGCAGACGGCTGAAGGACCAAATGCAAGCTGTCACAAGCGAATCTCTCCTCTCTGCGGGAAGATGTGGGTCTGTAATTACTCCAACATGATCATTATTTGCCTCACGCTGCCCAAGTGTCAATAACTGGATGCCGGAGTATCTGTGCAGGTGGAAAATGTTTCTCTGCTGCCCAAGTGAAGGGGCAAGGCTGTCCTGGCGCTGCCGACGTCTGCGCTGCACGCTTCCCGGGAAAGGCAGGTCGCTGCGGCGTGATAAACAAGGCCAACGTGGCTAAGAAGAAATACGCTGGGTAAGAACAGCTTTTCTCTTCTGCAGCAGCTTCCACACACTGAAGAAGCATCCAGGGCTGAGGCGGGAAGTCAAAGAAAGGTAAGGAGTGAAATAAAAGAACTTGGGAAAGGAAACAGAGAAATGGAGGAAAAAAACAGAGAGTGAAATTATCTGTCGAACCTGCCAAGACGTGAGAGAGGGAGAAAGAGCCGGCTGTGAAGAGAAGGAGTGAAAACAAGGGAAGACCCCAATTCTGTGAACATCAGTTTGCATCAGTCTCTTAGTTGGAGCTTTCTGGTCCAACAGCTACAAAGAGTAAGGCCATACAGATTAATAAAAAAATGATACTTTATTTTAAATGCAGCTACTGTCATGAGTCATCAAAATAGACTTTGTAATAGTTACTTTGTTTTAAATATGAGGCAACGAATGACAGCTAAGAATTTAAACTACATGAAATGTTCTAAAATTGTAAATTCAGAGAGCTAAATTTAAATATTACAAATGACAATTTTCAGAAGAAAAAAGGGAATAAAAATATTTTCCAGAAAAAGTAAAATAATTTGGCCAGTAAAACCATACTAAAACTGTAAATTAATGAAATACTGCACATGAAATACTTGAAGAGGATTCCTTTCCGTCGCTGTCATGTAAAAGATCCACAAAGCTAAAATCTCACAATTTAAATTACACTGCTCTAATAATTTCTCTTACTCAAAAACAGTTCAATAATCCAGGATAATCCGAGGAACCGCTGATAAATTGCACTTCTACGTGTTGTTCTGCAGTAGGGCTGCTGCTATTACTGCTGCACCTGAGCAGGGACCGGCGAGCACCTGGGCCTTCTCACGCACGCAGCTCTTCGTAGCAGGGTATTTCTGAAGGGTCCTTGCGTGGTTGTGCCAGGTGTAGCAGCTAAGAGCTCCTCGCAAAGCCCTCCAGAATGACTTAAAGTCACAGCTGAAGGGGATCGGGTCTTGGCTTAACGCTTCTCAGCCACATCCTCGCTGTCTCAGCTCTCGAAATGCCACTGCTGAGGAAGGGACCCATCGCAGATGGCCATGGTCACGTACCCTTTGTGGCTAAGCGGATCTACCACCTTCATGCACTGCCCCACGGAGACCTGGTAGAGGCGGTTGTTCTTCTAGAGGAGCGAGAAAGACAGAGAGGATTCATTTATTAAAACTTCTGTTCTATTCCACCATCAAACTGACGCCGAAACCGATGCTTAGCGGGAGGGGATGCTCCTTCCTGACAGACGAGCCTGCCAGCAGCCTCCCTGCCACACCAGACCCACAGCAGCCGCATGTAAAAGCCAGAGTACAGCACAGCCCATAACCATGTTCCGGCCTTGAAACGAAGGCTCTCACGCCCTTACAAGGACCCAGTTCTTATTTTGTTCATACCATAGCCTCTCAATGAGCTGGGCGGATGACCAAACCCATTCCCCTGCGCTCAGCGAAGAGGGAGCCCGCAAGGCCACGGCGCAGCACAGCCAGGTCCCCGCTCTGCACCCGGCCAAGCCTTGGCAACGCCGCTGCCCTCAGCGCCCACGTGCAGGGTGATGGGTCTCTTGTGCGTGGTGGTCCCAACAACCAGGGCAAGGCCAGACCCTAGTCAGCTGCGAGAAGGAAACAGATCCTTCTTCTCTTGGGTTTTGGTTCCCCTTTCCTAATCAATCCTAATATTTGATTTGCTTTCTTTTGTTGTCGATCATTAATGAGCACCAGTGTGACACCGTCACAGATCCACCTCCCGCAGCCTCAGTGGCAATGGCCCGCTCAAAGCCCACGTTCCACACGTGAAGCCCAGATTCCTTCTCCCCATCCCAGGTATCACCTGGCAGTTAAGTGCATTGAATTTCAATGGCCATTCTCTTGTCTGTCCTCTCAGTCTTGTAAAATCTTTGTCTGCTAACTCAAGCTGAAGAGCCCTGAATAATCTCTTACCAGCAGCAGAATTTTTCAGCTCACTACTCCCACTACCATTTGCAGCTGTGGTGCTGCTGGTGCGAGTGTCAGACACGCACAGCCCTGGGCTCACGCGATATCTGCCCCTGTACCTCCAAACCATCCGGGACTGCAACAGCCTTCCTTATTTGACTGCACTTAGGAACTTGTGCTGCCGAGAAGCAGCATTGTACGAACCCAAGACAGTTTATGCAGAGCTGTTGCTGAAGGACAAGAGGCAGTTCTGGTCGTGCCCTCCTCCTTCAGCGACATTCGTACTACAGACTCACTGCTATGCGCAGGGCATGCAAGGGGGCAGCCTCTGAGTTAATATCCAGGAGCCAAATTTCACATGTATGCAGCACTGGCTCAGTTTTGTGAAAACAGCCACTCAAGCCTCCAAGCCATTAAACTAACAAGATGCTTATTATAGGACAGAAGCAACTGCAAAAACCCTCCTCTTCCAATCCTCAGCTCTGCCCTACGCTTCTCAAGCACTAAGCAGAAATCACCACATGGACGGCTCCTGTCTCCCAGTCCTGCAAACACAACACAACAAAGAGCTGTGGGGTGGATTTTGTTCTCTCTGGCACGTCCCTGTGAGCCACAGTGCTGCAGGTGGCTGTGACGAGCAGAAAAAAGGCTAAATGGGGCTGCAGAAACCTTCCTATGTTGCAAAAGAAAATGCCTGCGTGTCCCAGAGCTCAAGGAAAGTCGTGTTCAGGCTGAACTGCAGCCACCAAAGCTGTGTAACTTTTGTACCTGTTGCTTGGACTGTGGGCTGGGCCTAGTACAGCGCAGTTGGCTTCGTACATCTGAGGTTTGGTCACAATTAACTCAACCCTGATATCCTGTTAGTGCTATTATCACATCATTTATTGAGACATTAATTACAAACAACGTGCTATATGCCAGCCACTCCACTTACCCCAAACGTCCACTGCTGCGAGCCGCCAGACCCATGGCATTTCATAAGACGAGGTGGATCGGACGAGCGAGTTTCCGAAACATCCAAGCAAAGGAGATTATTTAAAATCAGCTCGTGATCTTCATTGTAAATCCAGACCTGAAAGAGAAAATAGAAAGACATTTATCCCAGTGTTTCAGGGCCGGTGCCTTGCATTGTTTGTTCAGCTACAGAGGAGGCACTTCAGCATTTGGGTGTCAGAGATGCGCCTCGCAACGCTTGCTGCCTCTTTGCTGCCTTTTTTCCAGCAACTGAAATGCAACTGCAGTGCTTTATTGCCTTCCCAACATCACACAGTGTCAGCCCACGCAGAGGAACTAAAAGGACTGCTTGCGATCCTGCTCTGTACTAGCATTTTTAAAATTAAGCAGCCCCCATATGTTCCTCCTGTCCAGGCAGCTAGGCAAGATAATGCAACAGGCAAGCGGTGGATCTCCGAGCAGGTGACCAGCCACTCTCTGAGCCAAGTCAGTCAGCCATTAAGCCAGGCAGTAAAACTCCTTATCCAAAGACAATCCTTTGGTCATGAAGGAGGGCTGGCAGATTGCCTCAATGCCACGCAGGGAGCCAGCACGGGGGCTAGAGGAGGATGCTGGGTGACAGCAAGTGGCCCAAGAGCTGTGCGGAAGCAGCTTGGCAGGCATGCAAGGCCAAAAGGTATCTCCAATCTTCTTGGAAACTGCTGCATTTGTCCATAAACATGTAGGAATTTACTTAATATTGTCCTCTGGGGTCAGCTTGTAGATGCTGAATGATGAGAAACCGAAATCAGCTGTGCAAGTTCCAGTGCCAGGTAGCCTACGTTAGTCCCTGCACTGGTCCCAGGGTCCTGCTCCTTGCAGCTGGTGGCCTGGTGCTCAGAGATCTTCACTCAGAAGATGATTGCTGACATCCAGCTGCTATTACAACTTTCCATGCTGCTCTCCAAGGAGCAAGAGAAATCACTGCTTCAGCATTCCCATTCTGAAACTACACGCTCCATAACCAACAGGTTTACGTCCTTCTCTGCTCCCCAGCCAAACTGCTTTTGCTAGCTGTGCCGTGCTTAGAGGGAGACCAGCCCTCCCACATCACACCCACTTTGTTTTGGCCGAACCAACATGAAAACATCTTGATCTGGACCTCAAGAACCTACACAATATCCCAGCAGCTCACATAGTGCTGGGAACTGAATCCAGCTCCTCTCTGGGGCCCACATGCATAAAGCAAGCATGTGCTGGTTCACATTTCCAGCTTCACCTGCATTTGGGTTCCTGAATTTACATGATGTTCCAGGAGTTTCTGTTGCCAGACTGAAAACCATCGTCACCTCTAACAAGAAGCAAGGCCACACTAAACCTGTCAGCTTGTCCTCTCCCACGTGCTACTTGGGCACAAACAGGTATTTTTATTGTTGGTATAAAATACCATCAGGCACCTTCAGTTGCTGCAGTTCATGCCCATACCCTGCTAGCTCTCACTGGGCTGCCTAAACCTGGCTTTGGAGCAAGGCACACCTGACACAGCTGAAGGTTCAGGGAAGCTGGCCCACCAGTCTGGTCTAACTGCAGGAGCTGCTGGGCCCCCCTCCCTCCCTCAGTGCCTTCAGGCCTGCAAAGTCCTGGGCCATATCAGTTAGGCAGAGGACCTGGAGCTCTCACAAACAACGGGAGACTCTGATCCCTGGGCCAGAAAGCAAAGAAATGGATGAACTTTGGTGTGTGCACCTCAAAATACCCTAGGTTAGAAAGGGGTAGGGAAAAGGAGAAGAAAGTGTGTGAGAACTGTAACACTGCAGTGCAGGGAAGACACTGAGACCATCTGGCTAAACACCAAACAACTGCTATTCCGAACACACAGCGGGGCCCCTGCATTCACATGGCACCTGCACAGCACCTCCCGACCTCCCTGGGTGCTGAGCGGGCGACAGCAGAGCTGGCCAGGTCTCTCCGTCTGCTGCCGCTCCCAGACCCGACCCCAGGCTGGTGCGCGCAAGGAGCATCCCTGCTCATCCACTTCACTTGCCCCCATCAACTTCCTTCCCCCTGCCTTCTGCCTCGGTGAATGAGGGGGAATTGAGCCCCTCATAGCCGTAGCAGCAGCACCTGTACCTACAGGCATGCTAAGTTCTTCTGGTGCGCTCTTCTTCCAGCCCTGTTTTGTTGTCACACAGCTCAGTGCTGCAGTAACCATGCCCACTGTGTGACTTTTATTTTTCCACTAAGTCTGCAGGAGTTTCACACTCAGAGTATAGAATATCAAATTCCAGGCAGAAAAGTCAGGCAAATAAAACAAATTCTGGTGAGTGTTTTTTGTGGGTTTTAGGGTTGGGTTTTTTTTGGTTTTTTTTTTTGTCAGATGAAACTAAAACCAGCCTTCTGGAGGGAGCTGTGACTCAGGACACTGCCTCAGTTGGACAGCACAATTGAAAAGCATACAGCTCATTCATTATCACAGTGACTATTATAATACAGTGAAGGACTCCTTTGAGGAACTGCAGGTATTACATTAAAATTTGCCCTAACCTCAGGTGTTCTGGGCCTTCTAACATACTACTATTTCTGTTTAAACCCCATCATGAGAAAGCAAGCATGGCAAGATTAAAGAGGAGGAGAGAATGGAGAAATAGCAGCACTTGCCAGAAGAGCTATTAAAAGAAGAATAATGATGGAGCCAAATCCAAACAACAGATGAAACCGGTAAGAATTGAGAGAAGACTGCAGCGACACAGGGAGCAGACCTTTAACCAAAAGCTGAATAATGGCAAAGAACACACAACGGAGGTTAAATCCAGTATGATACTTCTCCAGAAAGGCTTACACAAGACAGCCAAAATTAATTTCAAACTAATTACATGTTTAGTGTAAAGAGTGTAAGAGAAAAGGGGAAAAAAGACCCAAATTTGAGACACACTACGGTTCCAAACTCAGACTAGAGTATCAGTATGAACTTGCAGATTATTAACAGATTCAAGCACGAGGAGAGAAAAGCCACCCCATGAGTTTCTTTGTAATATAACTGCAAGCCTTTGCATACTCCAAAATTTATTAACTACTTTGCTGCTGAAGACTCGAAAGACAATGTTTAGCTCTTGCTGTTACAGGCTGTCAGGAGCAACAGCCCAGTATAGGAAGGAAACATCTCCTGGCAGCCAGCACCACTAATATCTGATCTGCAAGGAGAATAAACTGCTCTCATTTTCTTTTTGTCCATGACTTGCTTGGGTTCAGGCTCAAGCACAATATCAAAAGTGTATAATCAATAAGGTGCCTGCCTAGGATTTATACTTTAATTCTGAGCGATGTCTTCTGTTATCCTCCTACATATTTTCTGCAAAAAAATGACATATTTAAAATTTATTTTATTTAAAAAAAAAGTAACAGACCAGGTGCAGGATATTTTCATCCTGCACCTACTTCCTAACACCTAGAAGAACATTCACTGTCAGATTTCAGTTTCTAAAAGTAGAATTGTGCCCAGCTCCCACCACAGAGGAAAACAGCACCTTTCATTGCTGTCCCCCAGAGACACGTGCTAATAGCTGACCTGCTCCACAGGTCTAACCAAAAAAAAAAAAAAAAAAAAAAATCACTGACCATTTTCACTGGAGTCAAAGAAAAACACCAGGATGCAATTAGAAGATAATGAATTGTTTCAGTTTTCTAAATGGCAGATGTTACGGAAAAACCCCTCTCCATAATGAAAGTGATCAAGTTTTGGGTGAAATAAATGATTTAATGTGGTGAATGCTGTAGGATCGGCCTTTTTCTAGCAGCTCCTTTTCCTCTCAACACAGGCAACAGGGTAAGAGGAAAGGTGCAAGGACCCCTTCAGTCTTGGAGTGCAGTGGCCCGTTCAGCTGCCGACCAACCCTTCCGAGGTCCTAGATGTCCCTGGAGCACCTAGAGATCTTCCCTAAGGCAAAGCATTTCAGGTTGGGCAGTGATTAGATGCCTGCCCAAGTCTCCCACCCACCAGTTGATGCCTTCACCTTTGGCTACAGGGGCACAGAGGTCCTGCTCGTGCTTAGTGACCCAGACTGCAGTAGCTGGTTCACCTTTCCCATAGTGGAATGGGACTCACAGATCTGGGGTAAGCGTTCTCACTGCTAGAGCAAAGCCAGCGTGTGTATCCTCCTGGTCACCCACAGACACATGTATAGCATGGGCTAGAGTAGGTCTCATGGACAAAATAAATGGGAGGAGGTCCAAAGTACAAACTCTATTAGTATAAACCTTTTTTATGCAGGTGCAGCTTAGGAAGAACTGGATTTTTAATTTAGTCCCCTCAAAAAGTAGTTCTGACTATTTACAGATTTAAGACTGAGGCTTCCTAGGGCTTCCAGGATTTTGCTTCACCCCCATATAACACCAACAAATCACCCAGCTTCTGCTGGACTGATTGGCAAAATGACTTCATTAATCTCATTTACATATAGGCAGGTGGGTAGAAACAGAGCTTCTCCTCATATGCAGCTTAATGAACAGCTGCAGTGATGACTACAGTTTAACTCCTTGCAAGGACAGCAGTGTGACATTGCTGAAGACTGGATAGTGGAGCTTTTTTTGCTCTCTCCTTTTACTAATATCTGGATTTCCTAACTCGTTTCAGGTTGCCACTGTTGGTAAAGGAGGCATGCTCTTCACCCCCTCCATAAACCTCTATATCCCAGTGATCACCCTCTGGGATTATTTTTTACCATAATAAAGAGATACAGGGCTGTGTTACTGATCCCGCCCCCCCCCCCCCACCAAAAAGCACA